ATCAGCACTGGATTGCCCAACATCATAAATATCCCGCCTCACAACTGGGCTCAACAAAGACATCGCATACCATACCAGGTGGTGGGGGCTGACTGGAAGTATTTTAGCTTTCATCCCGTTCATTATTTGTAATAGACAAAAAAAGGAACCAGATCAAATGTCCATCAACTGATGAATGGGTAAACAAAATATAGTATTATCCACATAATGGAATATTACTTAGCCCAAAAAATGAAGCTGTGATACATAATACAACATGGATAAACCTTGAGAACATTATGCTAAGTGAAAGAAGCCAAACACAAAGACTATATAATGTATGATTCCATTTATACAGAATGTCCAGAATAGGCAAATCTATAGAGAAAAAAGTAGATTAATGGTTGCCAGAGAGGCTTGCTCCAATGCCCTGTGGATCTCCCAATACCTGCACCCTTTATCCTGGCTCAGGTGGTCCCCTGCTAGTTTAAAAACGCTCTGAGACGGGGACACAATCTGGGTGGTCTCCTCCACCCTCATGATCCTGGGACAAACTGCAGGCTGAGGATGCACAACAGCCTCTCAGGACATTCCCCAGAGCTGCTTGCAGCTCCAGACCCTGGCCTCCTTCTGCAGCCCCCATCACACAGGCACAGAGCCTGCATGCCCCAGGATCCATGCAGACTTGCGGATTCTTCTGACTGGACAGCCAACTGACCCCTCCATGACCCAGGGCCTGGGGAAGCACATCAGGGGCTCCAGCTCCAAGAGCAAGACACCCTCTTCGGATCCCAATCTACCCTACTACGGGGCCTGCCTGCCCTTCCTCCCATCTCCCTGGTACAGCCCTGCCCCTGCCCTCCCCACGCTTGGGGAAAGGGGAGGAGGTTACTGATATCAACGGCTGCATCCTCTTCCTGCCCCAGACTCTCCAGCATCTTTGGATGCATCTCCCCCTTCCCTCTCTTGCAGTCTGACCTTTCATATTCCAGCCCTCACCCCCAGAAAAGATAAAGTTCTAACTGGCTTCAGAAAGCTCCACAACCTGCCTTACCCTTACCTCCCATTGATTCCCCCCCCAAGGTACTGCCCCACCGACGCCATTCCCATGCAAGTAGGAGTCAGTACTGACCTCTCCAAGGAGGTCTCTGCTGGGGCAGCTACTAGAAAGTGCCCTGTCCTTCCACCTTCTAAGCTATTACTAGTTCGTAACTTTGGGCTATAAGCTGTCCCCTATCTTCATGGTCCAGGCCGAGGAGCTCAGGCGCCTGCGTGGCACAGCCCGTTTTGGAGAGTAACAGGGAGGCAAGCCCCCATCACCCCCGAGGTCTTTAGGGGCTACCCCAGTTTCCAAGGCTAGAGAGGCTGCCTTCGGCGCCACCTGGCGGCCACCGCCCAAAACCGCAGAATGGACCCAGGGCCGAGTCCCGCGCCTGCGGGGGGTCAGTTCCCGCGGGGCGAGCGGGCAGGCTCGGGGGCGGCCAGCTTGGAGAGTCAGGACCACGCGGCCAG